TAAAGCAAGAAGAAGACGCCTCACGCCCGGAAGAAGAAGACGCGAACGCACTCAGGACAGTTCAGACATTGCGATATAAATACTGTTCAGTTTCTTGCACTGACTGATCGTTTTGTGTCTTTACACATCAATGTATCATCACGAGCCGCAGGGTTTAATTTGGTTTTGTTTGTGTATGTTTTTTTGAGTCTCAAAGCCGTGATTCCCATCCACTGACATTATAGGACTGACAGACTGCAACGGTTTGAGTTAAAAATCTCCGTTTGTGTTCTACTGAAGAAACAAAGTCACCTACATCTTGGATGCCGGTAAGCAGATAAACATCAAATTTTAATTTTTGGGTGAACTATCCCTTTAACAGGAAGCAAGACTGCTAATGTAGCAAAAACTGTAGGTTAAAAATCATGCCTTACCTCAGAGGAGGATTTCCTGATTGAAATTATTCAGAGATGACTAACCGAAGGCACATGAGAGTTTAAAGCACCTGCTGTACTAAATCCGGATTATTTCTAAAAATCACCTTATCTTAATGTCTGGCAACTTTCTCAAATAAATGCCAAATTTCTTCAGAATTCTACTGTATTCATTCTAGATATGACCGAACAAGGGAGCATATGAACCATTTTAAATTCACAGCATAGTAGATCAGTCTAAAGGCAAGGTCACGTCTGAGACAATTCAACGACATAACTATAGCAGTGAGGTTAGACTAGGTTATACTTCCCAGAATGCTCTGCTTTACAGCTGGGACTGGGTAGTGATGTGCCTGATGTCATGTAAAGAGGTGCAGAGGTTGTGAAACAGGGTTTCAGCATCTGTCTCTGGGTTGGACTTCCAAGCGGTGCAGGACGCAACGATTCTGGATGCGAATAAAGAATAAATTAAATACAGAATTTAATTAAATTAGATTAATATTACAATTAATGATAATAATATGACAGAAGAAATTACTGGTCAAACATTTAGAATAAGACTTTTTGAAAGATTTTTTAATGTTTTTAAAAGAAGTCTCTTATGCTTACTAAGGCTGCATTTTATTTGATCAAAAATACAGTAAAAACAGTAATATTGTGAAATATTAACATTTAAAATAACTTTTCTATTTGAATATATTTTAAAATGTAATATATTTTTATGAATTTTCGTAGAATATCATACTAGGTAGTGTATATAGAATTCTAAAATATATTGTAATATCTAAAATTTTAATGACATAAACTGATATGAACCAACCTGTCATCACGAATGCGGTAGAAAAACCCATATCCGTGCGGCACCATGGGTGCAACTGCTCCCAATACAGTGGTGTAGCCCACCAGACTAGTGGAAAGCACAAAACTCCCACCTCCTCCACTGTAAATACAAAACGACACTAGAGGGGTTGCAGTAAACTGCCTTTACAGCAGTACACACAAATCAATACCCTGGCAATGAACCATGGGAATTAAAGTGTTGGGCCAGACCTCTTAGTATAGAGCGAATCTGTGTAGAGTTCAGGCACAGAAAGACCCTCCTCCTTGGCAATCAGGTACAAACCCAGGAGGTGTCTGTCAAAGCCTGAAATGTGCAAAGATCATTCAAACATTGGTCCCTGCCATATTATCTATTACACAATGTAAATATTATCACACTGACACACACAAACCTTTTCCATCCTGTGCCTCTGCCATCAGCTTGTTATGTTTTCTGAAGGCTGCATTTAAAGCTTGCCTTTTCTCTTCAGTCTGTATAAAAAAAGACAACAAAAAAGCCATCAAAGCAAACCAAATGTCAAGAACAGTGTTTCTCAACCAGGAGCCTGGGGCCTCAGCAAACTTAAAATTATTTAAAATAAGAGGGAAAAAAAAGTAAAAATGCACTAAACAACAAAAAAATCAAGATTAATCCCCTAAACTTTTTTTTTTCTTTGAAAACCAGGGTTCCCATGCTTTTGGAAAACCTGGATATATTATGAGGTGTCCTGATTTTAAAAGTGTGATTTCCAAGTTCTAAAATATTTAATTGGGTAGAAATTTTGAGTAAAAATATTTTCAAATATTAGCCAGTAAATCATAAATGTCATGTACATTTACTGGTTAAAAAAAAAGTAAGATCCCCAAAGAACATTCAGCTCTTAACTTCTGCAATTCTGAAACGTGTTTTAATTTAATTATAACTAGCAGATGTACCACAGTAAACAAGTGAAACACAAAAGGAAAAAATTTGCAAAATGTCCTTGCCGCTCTTTTCCAAATAATGAAAGGGAATGGAGATGAGGGCTGTCAAGCGTTAAAAAACAAAGCCAAAAAAACAATAAAAATAGTGAGCTATTCCAAAGATACCATACGACCATATGATAGCTTTGTGTGAACACCAGACTGAAATTTAAACCGTTATTTGCTGAAAATCTTTGCCACAATGCTGCAAAACACCTTCATGCTCCTGTAATATAGAGCACAAGCCGTATGGACAACTTTATGATTCTCTAATTATGATACTCTTTCACCGTAAGAAAGAGAATGGTTCATACAGGTTTGGAGGATGAGTAAATGATGACAGCATTTTAATTTTCAGCTGTACTAACACTTTATTTATTAGACACAAGGCACTCACAGTGGCTGTAGGGTTCAACATGGTTCTGCACCAGTGCTGAGCCTCCACAGTGCAGGGCCTCATGGTCTCTGTGCGGCCATGATAGAAACGGCGTGTTGTGGCGGTCTCATAACAACTACCAGGCCTGAGAATGAAAGAGAGAAAGATGCCAGACTTAGCTAGGGCTGTGTTTTGATTTTTCAGTCAGGCAGTTATCTGACACACTTACTTTCCGTGTAGCCTGTAGTATGATAACTGCAGAGCCAGCTGTACGAATGTGTCAGGGTGAAGCTTTCTCTTCTTAATGGCTGCTTTTCCAAAGGAGGTGAAGGTATAGCTGACAACCTGCAGGTCCTGAGACTGTAGATACAGACGCTTTGAGATGAGTGCTTTTAATTATGTTTACTAAAAACCACGTCTGATTACAGCATATTGTGTTTGTATTCATGCATTATGGGACTGCATAACAAAGACTCATTAACAATATGTGTTACTTACACTTTTGCTGTACTGTTCTTTGACCAGGGCGATGTCTCTCCTCACCCGCTCATCCACGGTGAATATCAGCTCCTCTGGCACAGGCATCTCACGCACAACCTTTGAACCCTGGGAGTCATATAATAATTTCAACATGCACAGTCACGCATATAAAATGACATACACAAATAAACATAAACACAGTCTTACCTTCCACACTCCACCACAGGCCCTCAATTTTTCATCTACATAATATCCATTAGATACCAAAACCATGGCATCATATGGCGCATGCTTTAAAACAAACAAATACATTGACAATAATGACATTAAAATGTGATTATTATTCATTTATGTATTTATATCATGACTGACACAGACATGGACTGCAATAACTACTGGTAACATTAAGACTTAAAAACGTGTTTTCTGATCACATTAATCAAAATAATGTCATGTTTGGAATGAATGCACACATAATCACTGAGTGTGACATAATTATACTTCATTTCACTTCACACTGTGTGATAAAATTACTATTCAGGGGTTGATAAGATTTTTTAAATGTTTTTGAAAGAAGTCTCTTATGCTCAAAAAATACAAAATACAGTAGGAATAATACAGTATATAATACAGTAAGGATTCTGAAACATTATTACAATTAAATTATTATTACAATTTAAAATCTGAAAAATTAAAAAGCTGAATTTTAAGCAGCCATTACTCCAGAAACCATTCTAATATGCTGATTTGCTGCTCAAGAAACATTTTCTATTATTATCAATGTTGGAAACAGTTGCCTAATATTTTTGTGGAAAGCATGATACATATTTTCAGGATTCTTTGATGAATTTAAAGTTCAAAAGATCAGCATTTATTTGAAATAGAAAAGTTTGTAACAATGTAAAAGTCACTTCTGACCAATTTACTGCATCCTTTCTGAATAAAACTATTAATTTTCCCAAATTTCCCAATTTTTGAACAGTAATAATGTATGTAAAAAATATACACAAATTCTAAAAATGCTGCCATAATCAATGGTTGTATTTACATCACAGTTAGAAGCGAAGGTCCCATTAGAGAAGCAGATGAGATTGTAAGATTTATCACCCCAGCGGATCGTGGGGTCACCAGTTAATGCCAGGTGGGTCAACTATCAAAAGAGAGAGATTGTAAAAATGTGACATTCATGACTGTCCTCGTACAAGTGTGTATGTATTGTGCTCAACCTGTGTGTAGTTTTCAGGGCTGGAATAGGGCTTGGCATCGTCCAGGGCGAGCACAAATAAAGAGCTCTGAATGGTCTCTAGTATGGTCTTATTCACAGGATCAATGGAGATCAGATACTCCCGAGCCTGAAGAGACAGACACATGAAAAATCTCAACATGATAACCCTTCAGCAAAAATTCATAAACTGTTGTTGAAACTCTAGTGAAGGTCTTTCACAATATTTTCACATCCTTTGTAGAATGTAGAATGAGATCATTTGCATACTGTACTGTGATTGGTTGTGGTGCTTCCGTGGAGGGCGTGGCTCTTACCTTTGCCCAATGTGTCCTTTCCTCAGCGGTGAGAGCGCTCACTCCATCCCCCTCCGGCTCTCCATCACAGCATTCTTTAATGTAAGTGAGCTGCCTAAAGAAAACAAGGACTATGTGTGGAATAGCGTGCCGCTTTGCTGCAGTATATAGCATGCATACTGTGCACATTCCATATAGTTCACTACCATGCAAACGTTTGGAAACGTCATGCAAGACATTTTAATGTCTTTGAAAGAAGTCTCTTATGCTCATTAATTTGGCTGCATTTATTTGATCAAAAATAGAGGAAAACAGTAATAATGTGAAATATTACAATAATTGAAAATGTCTGTTTTCTTTTAGAATATATTTTTAAATGCAATTAATTCACGTGATGGCAAAGCTATCAGGAGTCATTACTCCAGTCTTCAGTGTCACATGATCCTCCAGAAATCATTCTAATGCTGATTTGGTGCTCAAGAAACATTCCTTATTATCAGTGTTGAAAACAATATTAATTTTGAAAATTTACATTTGGATAAAAATGTTGAATGGACACCACTTGAAGAATTTAACACGTAACATGATGACAATAATGTAGCATACTACTATGTGGAGCATTTATCATACAATATTGTTTGGAATAATAGTAGGCAGTATACAGTAACAGTGTATACCCCGCAGTATTCAGGAAGTAGTATTCTAGTATTCCATTCAGAATACAGCCAAGAACAATGATTGTGCATAATCACACAAAATAAAGACATATAGATTTCACTGGATCAATAAAACCAATATGCTGAATCATTGAAAACTAGGACACTTGGCACTATACCTCAACAGCTCTGGGGCAGTGAGGATACGGCCATCACAGAGAGCGTCAAATGTGAAGACCCTCCCACGACACATCACTATCATGTGAGAAGGGCAGGGTCCTTCGCTCTCTACAACACAGTGATCACACATCCAGCATAAAGGAACATATGGACACATTTATGCATACAAACAAGCATGCACATGCCTAACCTGTTTTGAAGAAGTTGAGGATGGTGTCTTTATTGACACCAGGCACTTTGCAGGTGCAGAAGAGCATGCGGAACTGATCCATGTCAAAGGGCATAGTTCCTGCTTTATGAATGCCAAGCCTCTCCCTAATGAGTATCAGCAAATACAAACAAATAGCCATATTACGCAGTTAATATATTACTAATGCAGACAAAAACAAGCCATTCACAATCAGAAATAAATAGAAATTAGACACTTTTGAAAGACATTTACTACACTGGCTGTCTCTTCGTTCACATAAACGATCACTTACGTGCGGATAAGGTCCCAGTACTGGAGGGTGAACCACAAATTCAAGCTGGTCCTCTCCAGCTGTGTGCCATCACGTACAGGCCAGCAGTGCTCCACGTAGGCTGTAGGACCTCCAAAATTCACATTCAGCTGAGAGGGGATGCGTGCCTCTAGATATGCTGTGTCCAGCCACCAGTCTTCAAGCTGAAGAAGAACAAATGCCAGGTTCAAATAAAGTCTATAAACTACATACGAAAATACATGGCAGTTAAGTGATTCCATAGTCTGGCTCAAACAGAACGGTGCGCAAAAAAACAAAAAAAGTCCTATTACCCAGTTGCGCCTGCTCTTGGCTCTCCTCAGAAGCTTCTGTTGTAGCTGTTGTCCGATGCCCTCCTCAAAGCGTTTCACAATAGCCTCTGTGGCTTGAAACTCCTCCTCAGATGCAAAAGGTTTTACTGGAAAAATAATAATAATAATAACGCAGTTTCCCAGCAAGGTGAACACATGTATTTTACTCATTGCATTATACAATAAACTTAATGTCTTTTCTGAGAAAAAAAAAGTTTTAAAAAAGTAAAAAACATTTAGTTGTTTAATAATACCCAATAGAAGTTGCAAAACACAGTTACAATTTATTTTATTTATTTTTTAATATTAACATTTCATTCAATGTTGCTCACAAATCTGACCAACAATGTTATGTTAATGTATGAACAATAAACTTACATGTAATAAAATATTACATGTACAAATTGTGGTATTTTATAATATAAACTACCATCATTTGTACATGTAATATTTACAGTTCCATAAAAGTAAATAAATAATCATAAATATCATAATATATAAACTTTATATATTATGATCAGTCTTATTAGATGCCTTTTATGGAACACTGACAGACCAGAGTCATTTTAGTATTATTTATATTATAGTATTTTTTTATATTTTAAATCAGCTTTTATTTTTATAATTTTTGTTTTCAGTCTAATTAAAAAAAAAAAAAAAACTGAAATTTTAGTAATTGTTTCATCTTTTTTATTATTTTTACAATATTTCTATACAGCTTTATTTATTTAATGTTCATTTTAGTTTAGGTAACTTTAGTACTTCAGCTTAAACATGTTGTGCCTGTGTGTGTGTGTGTGTGTGATTAAATTCAATGATTTTTAATAGAAGGACAAACTAAAACAGCTCAGGCAGTGCCTGTATTTACTATTTAAAAATTTATTAAAGTGTGTCTGCACTTTAATAGTCAACAACTCCGTGTAAAAGCCATCAACAACTCTTTTTTTCTTTAAGCAAATTTGATTTCTATCCCATGTAACACACAGTGAGCAGATTGCAGGTTTGTGCTCGAGGGCTTATGTTGACCTCTCACCTGCATGCAGGTATTTGTCCAGTGAGTCGTGTAGATCGGGCACAGGCAGAGGAGGGAGGCTGCTCTGATACTGAAATGTCCGCTCCGCACTGGACTCGAACACCTGATTATCCATTATTACTGGACTGATTCAACTGCCAATCAAATCAGACGAATAGCCAGAAAGACTCAGTAGCAGCATGTCCATTCGTATGACGAGATTACAAATACACTTCTACACAATCTGTTTGGGTTTACTCCCCCTAGAGACGTCCTGCACTTGACGCAGTGACTTTCAGTGCAGGATTCACTCTGTATTTAAAGCAGTAATGCATAAATAAATGACTGAAATCACTTCATCAGGCATATACATATACAAAATTCAAAACGCATAAAAACATATGCTGGTCATGATGAACAGACATAATATAAACAAAAACATTTTCGAAGTGACTAACCTCAGTGAGACAAGAGACTGTAGCAATGCAGAAACAGAAACGTCTTGATACTTTACTGAAGAACCTCGACGTGCAGATTCAACGCCAGATCGGGACTCGCTCCCGTTACCTTTGCCCTAATTACTGAACGTGAAGTCAAAAACAATAACAATGACTCGGTCAACATGGCTGCCTGCCTGAACAGATTTCAAAATACAGGTTCTGCGGGACCGTGACGGCAAGCAGCGAATCATGAATGAATGAATGAAATATTCTGTGTTCATTTAGGCTAAATAAATGTTTTCAGACATTTTTGAACATTTTCCAGTAACACAAAAAGCGCTGTTATTAATTCTTTAATAAATGTGTGGGATTACAACAAAATCATTATGTTCAAAAACGTTTTAAAACGTACAGATTCATTCATTCATTCAAATATCATGAGTCACGAACGTCATGAAGTTTTTCTTAGGAAAACTCCATTTGACTTAAAACGCCAATTTTCACGAAAAAGTCAAAATATGTGATAAAGAATTTTGTAAATAAATAAATAATCTTTAATACAGAAATTGATATGTTTATCTTAAAATGCTTTTAAGCCATTTTGTTTGATTTACTTTCTTTAATGTAGGCTACATTGTAATACAATAAATGATCCAGACAAAAATAACATGTCACAGTCACATCATTGACTATATATAGCCTAAAGATATATATAAAAATGATTTTATACTGTGTTTAAACAAAACAACTTTTGACTTGAAAAAAGGTCATTTAAATAACAGGTACTTAAATCAATGGTTTGTTACAATTACACCTGATTGATTCACTCAAGAGTTTTCTGGCATCTGTTCCCGAGTGCTGATTTTTCCCTGATTTGGCAACACTGTACAAAGCCTGGCCTTGGCAAAGTGTCCATGTCTTGCATTCTGCATCCGATCCAAAGAGCTGTTGTGATGACTACGCTTCAGTGAGCACACTGAGAGGACAAAGAAGCTCTTTGTGTGTAAGGGCACAATTACTGGTCCTCAAGTCTGAGGACTCAGCTAATACTACTGAAGCAATACATGAAAACGCCCATAATATAAACAAAAACATTTTCGAAGTGACTAACCTCAGTGAGACAAGAGACTGTAGCAATGCAGAAACAGAAACGTCTTGATACTTTACTGAAGAACCTCGACGTGCAGATTCAACGCCAGATCGGGACTCGCTCCCGTTACCTTTGCCCTAATTACTGAACGTGAAGTCAAAAACAATAACAATGACTCGATCAACATGGCTGCCTGCCTGAACAGATTTCAAAATACAGGTTCTGCGAGACCGTGACGGCAAGCAGCGAATCATGAATGAATGAATGAAATATTCTGTGTTCATTTAGGCTAAATAAATGTTTTCAGACATTTTTGAACATTTTCCAGTAACACAAAAAGCGCTGTTATTAATTCTTTAATAAATGTGTGGGATTACAACAAAATCATTATGTTCAAAAACGTTTTAAAACGTACAGATTCATTCATTCATTCAAATATCATGAGTCACGAACGTCATGAAGTTTTTCTTAGGAAAACTCCATTTGACTTAAAACGCCAATTTTCACGAAAAAGTCAAAATATGTGATAAAGAATTTTGTAAATAAATAAATAATCTTTAATACAGAAATTGATATGTTTATCTTAAAATGCTTTTAAGCCATTTTGTTTGATTTACTTTCTTTAATGTAGGCTACATTGTAATACAATAAATGATCCAGACAAAAATAACATGTCACAGTCACATCATTGACTATATATAGCCTAAAGATATATATAAAAATGATTTTATACTGTGTTTAAACAAAACAACTTTTGACTTGAAAAAAGGTCATTTAAATAACAGGTACTTAAATCAATGGTTTGTTACAATTACACCTGATTGATTCACTCAAGAGTTTTCTGGCTTTACTTTCTTTAATGTAGGCTACATTTTAATACAATAAATGATCCAGACAAAAATAACATGTCACAGTCACATCATTGACTATATATAGCCTAAAGATATACAGTGGGTACGGAAAGTATTCAGACCCCCTTAAATTTTTCACTCTTTGTTATATTGCAGCCATTTGCTAAAATCATTTAAGTTAATTTTTTTTCCTCATTAATGTACACACAGCACCCCATATTGACAGAAAAACACAGAATTGTTGACATCTTTGCAGATTTATTAAAAAAGAAAAACTGAAAAATGCTCAGTATTTAGTAGAAGCACCCTCTTGATCTAATACAGCCATGAGTCTTATTGGGAAAGATGCAACAAGTTTTTCACACATGGATTTGGGGATCCTCTGCCATTCCTCCTTGCAAATCCTCTCCAGTTCTGTCAGGTTGGACGGTAAACGTTGGTGGACAGCCATTTTTAGGTCTCTCCAGAGATGCTCAATTGGGTTTAAGTCAGGGCTCTGGCTGGGCCATTCAAGAACAGTCACAGAGTTGTTGTGAAGCCACTCCTTCGTTATTTTAGCTGTGTGCTTAGGGTCATTGTCTTGTTGGAAGGTAAACCTTAGTTCCAGTCTGAGGTATATAAAAATGATTTTATACTGTGTTTAAACAAAACAACTTTTGACTTGAAAAAAGGTCATTTAAATAACAGGTACTTAAATCAATGGTTTGTTACAATTACACCTGATTGATTCACTCAAGAGTTTTCTGGCATCTGTTCCCGAGTGCTGATTTTTCCCTGATTTGGCAACACTGTACAAAGCCTGGCCTTGGCAAAGTGTCCATGTCTTGCATTCTGCATCCGATCCAAAGAGCTGTTGTGATGACTACGCTTCAGTGAGCACACTGAGAGGACAAAGAAGCTCTTTGTGTGTAAGGGCACAATTACTGGTCCTCAAGTCTGAGGACTCAGCTAATACTAATGAAGCAATACATGAAAACGCCCTGCAGAATTTAATATTGTGTTAGGGTATATAAAATAAACAGGAGAACCTTACCATGATATTTGACAGCTTTATTCAATTACAATATTATATGCTTACATCTTTAGGTCTCATCTGACTTGTAATGAGATAGAATCAGGTGGTATCTCTATGAAGCCAAGTTAATTATCTTTTAATCTGTTAATCTATATCACATAAAAAGAAAAAAAAAAGAAAAAAAAACTAATCTTGTAGCTTTTTCATAATGAAATTGTAATATCTACTTAAAACTAAGGAGATCTTTTCCCCCCCCATCACATTCCATACTTTTCAATGGCTTCCTTGGCCAGGGAAATGTCGGCATTCATGGCATCTTCATTTGACATACCTGTTGGAGAAAAGAGTGAGGACTATATGAATCAAGCCATCATCAGAAACAGTTGAAGGAAGGGGTTCGTATAACCATAGCGGAGTACAAATCTGAATACAATTTACATTAAAAAATACAAACAAGTGCATGTGAGTGGTTACTGAGCAAGCTGTGCAGAGTACAACTATGACATGGTTTTTTCTTCTTCTTACCTTTCCTTGAATTCCATGCCTCCCATTTGGCTTTTCCTTTCAACTCTGTGATTCCAGGTTTCTCTGCACAAAACAGAACATACAGAATTGGCACTATTATATCTAAGCATCAAGCTCATATGGTTTACAAAAAAAAAAAGATTTATATTGGCCTACAACAATTACCAATATGAATGTCCCCAACGATGGCTTGCTTGTAGAGGCCATACAAATCCAGCAGCTCTTCGTCTGTAGGTCTGGTCTTCACTTTCTTTACATCCTCTGCATACTGCTCAAATTCAGCCTATAGCCATAGACATCATGACTTTTTTTTTTTTCTGTGATCCTACAATAATATAATCAAGCTCTACACTTCCAGCAAAAAAAAAGAAAAAGAAAAAAGCGTCACATAGTCTGATCCAGTGGCATAGGCAGAATTTTATTTTTGGGTGGGCCAGGGCAAAAGTGAGCGGGCACTATAACTAACGGACAGAGTCGGACTCAATATTCAGGTCAATCCAATCTTCTTTCAGTTTTCTTTCCCTCGTCAGTGCGAGTTTTTAAAAGTCCTTTTTACAGAATTATGCAACTCTGTCAAGAATTCAAAAACACATTTTATTTATTTGAGATGTTATAATAGCTTTGTAATCGTGTTAAAATATATTAAACAATAATTATTTAACAAATATCATATTTGTATAATAAACTGGGGGGGCCTATATTCATCAGAGCGGACCTGTGCCTGCCAGGCCCGTCCGCTGCCTACGCCCCTGACCATTTTGCCCCACAAAGCACATTCTTAATCACTATCATGCATTATTCCTAGACTGTACGCAGCCTGTTTAGTATCAGTTAGTATCAGTTTAGTAACAGTTTTGCGTGCCAACATGAATGCTCTTTGTACCATATAAACCTTGAGAGACGGGCTTTCTCAAGTCTGATTTATCAACTACAAGACTTTCATATGAAATTAATTGTTTGTGGGTAGCCTATACATCGCGCAACTTTTTGCTAGAGCAAGAGTGGAAGACAAAATGACGTAATACATTCACGAGCGCACATCCAGAAGCTGCAGATGAAAACAGCACGAAAACGACACTGATCTGGATGCGTAATATGCGCCTGAGCACACAGAGAATAAAATTAGCGTTTGCTTATACAGCAAAATCTAATGCAGTATTATAATAATACTGAGCTTGTAATCTTTAAAATCCTACCTATTTATAATCAGCTGTGGACTTAAAGGAATATCCAAATGGTTTGTTATTCATGCACTAGCTACATCTCAACAAAAGCAAGGGACGTGAAATTAAAAGAGAACGGTGCAGTTATATAGCCTACCTTCAAAGTCATTTTCTTAGGCGAGTACAGTGCGGCTGGGCGCGTCAGCTAGAACGTAGCGTAGATGCACTGATGAATAGAGTTTACGAGGACTCCGCGCGGAGCTCCAGTGCGCTGCTGTGGAGCTGAGCGCTGATTGGCTGATGGAACGTCCGAGGGTGAAACCCAGTGAACTTCCGCTTATTCCAGTTCTATGGTGAAAACAATTAATTAAATTCCAGCATTGTGCCTTTAACTTTCACATGCAGCTTTACGTAACACGAGATCCAGTATTTACTCAAAAAGCATATAAATGGCTAAATGATTAACTTAACTGTCACCCTGTCAACTGTCAACAGTTTACTTCACTATATTACAATTAAATCCTAATCTAATCATGACAAACTATATATCGTTGGAAAGGTCTAAGACTCCTAAATAGATATTTTACCACTGTTTTTTTTTTGTTTAAAAATTATGTTGGAAAAGTAATAGATTAATTTATGACAAGAGTGTACCTCAAAAATCTACAACATAACAGGAGTTCTGACCTTTGTCACAAAAAAGTCTTCTTCGTTGCCTTTTTCTCTATCACACTTTAGAAATCATCAGAAAATATATATCAATTGAAAACTTAAAATCTCAAAATTCATCCTTTGAAACCCATTTTAAAATCAGATATTGCATTACCATGAAAATGGTACATCAAAATCATGTTACAAAATGTTTTCATTCATGAATTATAAAAATTTAAGTTTGGATAGTGCACTTTCACGTCTATTTTCAAAAATGTGAGTGACAGTTAAGGGGTTAATTGATATTAATCTTTTTTATTTTATTTTGATTTTTTTTAGACTGAACCTGCAAACAATGGGTAGACATATTTCTATTTTCTACTTATATAATATAAACATAAAAACAAATCAAACAAAGCTGAGTTTTTTTTAAACCAAAATCTTGATATAAAATGTATTTATTTATTTTTTTTTCTTTATTGTATTTTTTATATAATTTTCCAGTAGACCAAACAATGAATAATACAATAATAAAACAAAGTGTAGCGAATCAGCTCATGGGGAAATATGAATAATTAATCATAACTAGTTATAATTAATTATAAATATTTAGATCCGCTGTAGATATTTACTTGACCTCTCAGGGTCAACTGTCTGAATGAAAAATGGTGTGTCTGATTGGTCCAGACGCTACAAAAGTGCTCATCAATATTAGGAAAAACAAAACAAAACAAAACAATAATGCTGGAAAATAAAATCACATAGTTTGCTAAAGAAGTCTTACAATACCAAAATAAACAGCAGTGTCAGGACCACTGATCTATAATAGAGAATTTATATTTATGTATTTATATTTATATAGGCCTAGTCATTTATATAGATTGGTTGTCAGGACACAAAAAGCACAGTTTACGTAACTAGTTTCTCTCCCTCTCTCTCTATTTAAAAATACAGTTTGTTGTTTAGAATGGTAAATTATAGAAATACTTTTAAAAGCCAGTGAACTTTTAATTGAATCAGATCAAATTCAAGTCAAAATAGTTATATTTATATCATTAATAATAATAATAATAATATAAATTCTATATTTTGTTTCTTATAAAATATTTATGAGCTATATTTGTAAATTATAGTACATGACTAAAATGATATCCAGCCAACAGCTCTGCGGACAGTCCGTCACTAGATGGCAGTGTGTATTTTAGGAACCTTGAACGATTTATGTGACCACAGAAAAAGACCTTCAAAAACAACATGTCTGCGCACGGAGGAATGTGCACACGCTTTGGAAATTAAACCTTTAACGGCTGATATCAGGCTATTTTATTAGGTTTGTATAACTGCTGATAACTATACGTCTTGGTTCATATAAAAAAAAACTATATAAAAGAGTTTTAATGTGATGTTGCATGCCTCATTGAGCTTATTATAATTATTAATGCTGAATTTTGCTTAAAAGCAGGTTTCCAGAAAGAATGTCTACCCCAGCGAAAGGAGCAACGAAGAAAGAAAAAAAGAAGCCCATACCAGTGAAAACTTCACTGAATAGCCCATACAGCATTCACTGGAGTCCACTGGAAAGAGAACACAAGCATTTCATACTGAACACACTTAAAGTCAAACTATCCGCTGTCGGGCTTCAGAAACAACGTGTCAATAGGTTTCGCGAGTGGGGCAGCAGAAGGAGGTCAAGAAAAAAGGCATCAAAACCCACTGAGGACCAAAAACCAGCTCCTGAACCCGCAGAGAGTGTACAGACCCCCTCTAAGCCCACCGAGCCGTGCTGGACCATCCCGACCGTGAGGAAACAGCTGGCCATCGGCATCAACGAGGTCACCAAAGGCCTGGAGAGGAATGAACTGAGTTTGGTGCTCGTGTGTAATTCGGTAAGGCCAGCACACATGACGTGCCATTTAATCCCGCTGAGTAAAACGAGGTCGGTGCCCGCCTGCCAGGTGCCCAGCCTGAGCGAGAGTCTCGCGGGGCTGCTGGGTCTCAAGTGCGTCCTGGCGCTGGGATTCAAACGCGGCGCCGAGGTGTTCGAGGATGTGGTCCGCGCGATCACACCTGTGGTTCCGCCGCTCAAAGTGGCTTGGATTCCGACGGATTCAAAAGCGAAAGCCGAGGAAAAGCTGGCCGACACGTTAAAGGGGCAGAAAAGGAAATTAGAAGAAATGTCGGATGAAGCCACTGACTCGTCGCCTTTAATCCTCCAGCCTCTGAAAGTAAAGAAAATCATCCCGAATCCTACGAAAACCAGAAAGCCGAAAAAGAAAGGAAAGCAAAAGTGCTCAACAAGTGTTTAACCTGTGCTCTATGAACGCAGGTTACTATATAGTGTGTTTGGACAGATGTGAATTGTTTAGTATATTTTTATGGATATAAATAGGAAAAAGACCGAGATGAATTGTTTTGTATTTTGGATGCTTTTATTCAGTCAAATATCCATGCTGGTATACCTTGATGTATATTTTTGTCAATTATATATTTAGGTGAACTATCATGTTTGACATGGTGCTGGTACTTATTCCCATCAGTTCCAACCTGCAATGGAGTTCAATAAAAATACTGTCTTGAGAAAGAGAAAGCTGATCATTTAAAACTACACAATTTGACATTTAAAAAAACAACCTCTCTGAAATAAGGCAAGTACTTCGGGTGTTCTAACCATAACCCACAAGTTCTCAAACCATACAGATTGGAAAAAAAGTTTCATGCTCATTTCATACAGCAAGCCTTAGAAAAACATACGCAAACTGACATTCGCAAAAGTGCCCTGGACGTTATTTAATGAAACCACCGGTTGAAATGTGAAACTTTGAGTGGCGGACCTTTCTTTTTAAGCATGTCTGGGCGTGCGCTTATTTGAAAGCATATTGCAGATTCAGATACATTAAAGCAAACCATGACAAGATAAGCTGTATTAACACAAAATCAGCTTATGCTATATAATAACGTTGTTCACATTTCATTACGCCTCACCAGTGATTGTAACTGAACAGCGAGCAAGCTTTCCTGACCGCATCACTAACAGCATTAGGAGAAATGCTTATATCAAAATGACAATGCACACGATTGTTTAACTCTCCTTGTGCTTAAGTATAGCAAAATTACCAGGGCCTGATCGCAAATGCAACACTTGAATGAGGTTATGGTTTGACTGCAAAGAATACTGACAGAATAAAGAAAATCAAGAATAAATGGAACATGTAACTTAAATACAATTCTAAATATCAGAATTGCTTTACTAAAATTATAATAATTTAAAAACACTACATGGTAAAGAACAGAAATGGGTGGGAAATAGAAGCTACTTAAGGTGTGACAATCATGTCTTCACGAAACAAAAAGTAAAGAAATTTACATTCAAAATTCGAAATGTTTCTTTTGGACACACAAAACCCAAATAAACATATTATTCTTAAAAATGCACCTCAGAGCAATCTGGCCCTTTTATAAACAAGTTGACGTTGTGCTTCAAAATGCAATACATTCTTCCACACATTTAACCATTTACGCTCCCCCTCCCTCCCCTCACACAGACAGCAGAAACTCCAAACGGTATATGACTTTAAAGGCAGCTCCATAGAAAAGACTGGATTTCGACCCCCACCCGTTCATGTTCCGTTGTAAACTTCACAACACGTAATAAATATCTGGCATTAAGTGTACAGCTTGCTAATTCACACAAATGTATCAACACTCCTTCATAATACAAAACAAAACAAACAAAAAGACAAAAACAATGGAATTAAACTTGTTCTGTGAGAGGAAGGATACAGACTGCATTGTTAAGGAAAATAAACGAACACTACGTGTGTGTATGCGTGTATGTATTTATGTATGTGTGTGTATACAGCTTGTGGATGTGTTTGACCTTAATAAATGTTTCTCACATTCTCAGAGAGAGAGAGACACTGGAGTCCACTGGAAAGAGAACACAAGCATTTCATACTGAACACACTTAAAGTCAAACTATCCGCTGTCGGGCTTCAGAAACAACGTGTCAATAGGTTTCGCGAGTGGGGCAGCAGAAGGAGGTCAAGAAAAAAGGCATCAAAACCCACTGAGGACCAAAAACCAGCTCCTGAACCCGCAGAGAGTGTACAGACCCCCTCTAAGCCCACCGAGCCGTGCTGGACCATCCCGACCGTGAGGAAACAGCTGGCCATCGGCATCAACGAGGTCACCAAAGGCCTGGAGAGGAATGAACTGAGTTTGGTGCTCGTGTGTAATTCGGTAAGGCCAGCACACATGACGTGCCATTTAATCCCGCTGAGTAAAACGAGGTCGGTGCCCGCCTGCCAGGTGCCCAGCCTGAGCGAGAGTCTCGCGGGGCTGCTGGGTCTCAAGTGCGTCCTGGCGCTGGGATTCAAACGCGGCGCCGAGGTGTTCGAGGATGTGGTCCGCGCGATCACACCTGTGGTTCCGCCGCTCAAAGTGGCTTGGATTCCGACGGATTCAAAAGCGAAAGCCGAGGAAAAGCTGGCCGACACGTTAAAGGGGCAGAAAAGGAAATTAGAAGAAATGTCGGATGAAGCCACTGACTCGTCGCCTTTAATCCTCCAGCCTCTGAAAGTAAAGAAAATCATCCCGAATCCTACGAAAACCAGAAAGCCGAAAAAGAAAGGAAAGCAAAAGTGCTCAACAAGTGTTTAACCTGTGCTCTATGAACGCAGGTTACTATATAGTGTGTTTGGACAGATGTGAATTGTTTAGTATATTTTTATGGATATAAATAGGAAAAAGACCGAGATGAATTGTTTTGTATTTTGGATGCTTTTATTCAGTCAAATATCCATGCTGGTATACCTTGATGTATATTTTTGTCAATTATATATTTAGGTGAACTATCATGTTTGACATGGTGCTGGTACTTATTCCCATCAGTTCCAACCTGCAATGGAGTTCAATAAAAATACTGTCTTGAGAAAGAGAAAGCTGATCATTTAAAACTACACAATTTGACATTTAAAAAAACAACCTCTCTGAAATAAGGCAAGTACTTCGGGTGTTCTAACCATAACCCACAAGTTCTCAAACCATACAGATTGGAAAAAAAGTTTCATGCTCATTTCATACAGCAAGCCTTGAAAAAACATACGCAAACTGACATTCGCAAAAGTGCCCTGGACGTTATTTAATGAAACCACCGGTTGAAATGTGAAACTTTGAGTGGAGTACCTTTCTTTTTAAGCATGTCTGGGCGTGCGCTTATTTGAAAGCATATTGCAGATTCAGATACATTAAAGCAAACCATGACAAGATAAGCTGTATTAACACAAAATCAGCTTATGCTATATAATAACGTTGTTCACATTTCATTACGCCTCACCAGTGATTGTAACTGAACAGCGAGCAAGCTTTCCTGACCGCATCACTAACAGCATTAGGAGAAATGCTTATATCAAAATGACAATGCACACGATTGTTTAACTCTCCTTGTGCTTAAGTATAGCAAAATTACCAGGGCCTGATCGCAAATGCAACACTTGAATGAGGTTATGGTTTGACTGCAAAGAATACTGACAGAATAAAGAAAATCAAGAATAAATGGAACATGTAACTTAAATACAATTCTAAATATCAGAATTGCTTTACTAAAATTATAATAATTTAAAAACACTGAATGGTAAAGAACAGAAACGGGTGGGAAAAAGAAGCTACTTAAGGTGTGACAATCATGTCTTCACGAAACAAAAAGTAAAGAAATTTACATTCAAAATTCGAAATGTTTCTTTTGGACACACAAAACCCAAATAAACATATTATTCTTAAAAATGCACCTCAGAGCAATCTGGCCCTTTTATAAACAAGTTGACGTTGTGCTTCAAAATGCAATACATTCTTCCACACATTTAACCATTTACGCTCCCCCTCCCTCCCCTCACACAGACAGCAGAAACTCCAAACGGTATATGACTTTAAAGGCAGCTCCATAGAAAAGACTGGATTTCGACCCCCACCCGTTCATGTTCCGTTGTAAACTTCACAACACGTAATAAATATCTGGCATTAAGTGTACAGCTTGCTAATTCACACAAATGTATCAACACTCCTTCATAATACAAAACAAAATGACAAAAACAATGGGATTAAACATGTTCTGTGAGAGGATACAGAGTGCATGTTAAAGAAAATAAACAACACTACATGTATGTGTGTGTATACAGCTTGTGGATGTGTTTGACCTTAATAAATGTTTCTCACATTCTCAGAGAGAGAGAGACAAAGAGAAAGGAGGGGAGACCCGTCAATAACTGGAACAAGACCTAAGAGAGCTGCACAACATAACTCATTCACTTTGAATGAATGTCAGTTTTTCCTCTTTATATTGATTACATCCAAGTCAGAGAATTTGAGATGGACCTCTCGATCACTAAGCATCCAACATGAAGCAGCCAGTTACTGTAAAACAAGGCCAACCTGGGGAGAATGGAGAAGTGAATTAAAACACACTAATTAAAACACACTTTAATATTGTAACTGGTAATGACAGATTATCATCATGTATTCAACATTTATATGGCTTACTTCATAATTATTAATAAAAATGTATATACTATATATAAATAATGTGAAACATTTAAAAATGAGTCATACAATGTTATTACTTTTTAATGTTGATGGAGGGGCACTGCAAAACTGAAATGAATAATAATAATAAAAAATGTATCTACAAGAAAGTTTGAGAGGTTACCCAAGCCACTGATGCGTTTCAAAAGACTTTACACCAGGTGTCTCCAAACTCGGTCCTGGAGGGCCGGTGTTCTGCAGAGTTTAGCTCCAACCCTAATTAAACACGCCTGAACCAGCAAACTAAGGTCTTACTAGGCATGCTAGAAACTTCCAGGCAGGTGTGTTGAGGCAATTTGGAGCTCAACTCTGCAGGACTCCAGCACCGAGTTTGGAGACCCCTGCTTTACACCATGCAAATGTTTATTTAACAAGCATTAAAGGGGTCATATGATGCGATTTCAAGTTTTCCTTTCTCTTTGGAGTGTAACAAGCTGTTTGTGAATAGATAAGATCCCTAAAGTTGCAAAGACTAAAGTCTCAAACCCAAAGAGATATTCTTTATAAAAGTTAAGACTGGTCCACGCCCTCCTAAAACGCCTCATTCAAACACGTCCCCACATGTCTACTTCACAATGTGGGAAGATTTGCATAACACCGCCCAAATGTTCACGCAAAGAAAGAAGGCGTAACTTTATTGTTGCTGCCGCTGCCGCCGCCATGTTGTGAAGACGCTGTAGGTTTCGTTGCGAAAGCGAAAATACTTTGTTTGGCCTTCTAAAAGAGGACACAACTAGAAATCAGTGGTTAAGTTGTATTTACAACACTGTTCCAGAACACTTCAACCCAAATATTCAGATGTGTGCAGCACATTTTATGGAGGACTGTTTCCTGACCCTGGTAGAGTAGACTACAATGTTGCCACTGACGCGAGTTTTGAGCAGTGTAGAGTAGCGCTTGTTTGTCATTTCTCCAATCACAAATGCAGCAAATGCAGACAGTTTACACGGCGCGATGCAACGC